CAAAATGTGCAGGAAGTCTGCTTTTAAGCCATCTCTCCATGTGTGCCAGCTTTGCGGAGCCGCCTGCCCCCTCCTCCTTGCTGCCTCCCACAAAGGTAGCTGGGGGAGGGCAGGAGCTGGTAGAGTGCTCCCCATGAACACCGATTCTATGGAGCCACCTGTTCCCTCCTCCCCCAGCATGAGAGATAGAAGGGAAGGGGAGGCTGCCACAGACAGAGGCTGCTTTGTGGGATGCCGATGCAACCTCTGTCCGTGAGGAGCTTGGGCCCCTCATCGACAGGGGCTGCTCCTGCCTCTGTAGCAGCTCTACCTACCACTCTGCAAGGCAGCAACACAGTGTGGCCAGGGGCTCCCCAGGAGCGGGGCTGGGAGTGCACTGGCTGCCGACCTCACCCCCAGGGATGACCGAATAATTGTGTAATGGCTAAATTTTGAAGCAGTTTCACGATTATTAAATTAATAGTTATCTAACTTCCCTAACTCAGACTTCGGGTTTGTCTACACAGGCACGCAGGAAAGTTAAGATTAATTAACTAAAGATGAAAAGTTAAAGCACATTAATCTAGAGTAGATAATCTCATTCAGAACTAAACTGGCTTTAGTTCACTTTATCCTAAGACCTGGTCTACACTCAAAATTTAGGCTGACATAGCCATGTCACTATGGAGTGAAAAAATCCATATCCAAAGTGCAGTACCTATGCTAGCCTAATCCCTCCCCCACACCATAGGTGCACAGTTGGGTCAACAGAAGAATGTATTTATCAACTTAATCACTTGAGGAAGCAGTGTTCCTACAGCAACAAAGGAAACCCCTTTCACTGTGAAAGGCTGGTTCTAAATTAGGGATGTAATAGTATAATTGGTTAACCAATTAACCGATAAGCAAAAGCCTATAGGTTAATGATACAGATTACACACATTCCCCACCCCCCAGTACATTTTTAGCAGGCTGGCCAGCAGCCCAACTCATTATTCCCAGCATGCACTGGGTCCTGGACCTACCCCCCGCTGCAGCTCTGCATTTAAAGTGTATTAGGAGCCAGGTGGGCAGGCAGCCCAGCTCAGTTCCGGCTCATACCGGGTCTGGGAGCTCAGACCTCTGCCCCCCAGACAGGGGCTGCCCAGGGACTATAGAACAGTCGACTAACTGAAAAGAATGCATGAGGTTAATAGACTATTCAAATTAACCAATATTTAACATACCTATTCTAAACTACAAATCCTTAGCTATACCACTATAATCCCCATAGCATAGACATGGGCTTAGTATACAGAAGGTTTTAGTACCTTTCTGCATTTTTGCCACCATGTCACTAGTGTAAATCTGTCTACATCAGTACGTTGTAACAAGAGAGACCCAGAGAATGGAAATACATAATTTCCATTACACTACTTTCACTTTTTCATATCTTCAGGACTGCAAATAAAGTACTATCAGCATAGATTGGTTTTCATTCCTTAGTTAATATTCAGTCACTTGCTAGGCACTTATAGGATGCTGGAAAACTAGATAAAAACCGTCCTCTGGAATTTCTGTTCAGTTTATTATATTTTAAATTACAAGTAATGAAATATAAAATGTATCTAGAACAAATGTGTTTTGCAATTTATAGGCGCACAATTTCATGCACAAGTAACTTTAGCCACTTTTCAAGGGAAGGGTTCTAAGAACTTTTTTTGGCAAACTAGCCAGAGTTTGTAAAGTTTTAAATGTGTGTAATTATATCCACCCACCAGCATCATCTAGTAAACTCATAATTATCACAAAGCCACTAACATTCTCTCAGACACACTTTCAACTCCAACTCAAGACAAAAACTGACTTGAGTACCTAAAGATATAAAAGCTGCAAAGTCTGCTTGAATTTTAATTTTTGCACATTTAGTAATACTCACCTCACAACTTTGCCATCTATTTGGAATATTGGGTCTCAGCTTCTGCTCACAAACAACTTTCCTCATTTCTTCAACTGAAGGATCTGAAGGGACTAGGTCATAGTACGGTAACTGATAGTCTTCATGTATCCCTGCAGTGTTGTTAAAAGATTTAGCATTTCTTTTTGTTTAACAATCACAATTAGAGTTTGTCAACTCATTCTCAGGGATTATTTGTTGATATAACTAAACGCTTGTTTTACACAGTACTGTTGACTGACAGATTTTAAAGCTCTCTACAAACAAAAAATAAATATCCAATTTTACCAACTGATTGATCAAGGTCACACAATTGCCTTAATGAGCTTTTTAAATTTCCTAATAAAATGTTTACAGGCTTAGGGAAAGTGTGTCTCCCTGAATTTGAACAGAAACTGGTGGCTTAATCAGCAATGAAATAAAAGATATTCATATAAGCTTTCAAAACCAGTTTAATTTGTATCCTCTCTCTTCATTCTTACATAACCACATCTATTTTAAAAAGCTAATCATAAAGCATAAAAAAGTAATACTGGCTACAATTTACATGAACAAAATGCAAATTCCATTGCAAATACTTTACCCTTCTTTGTTTCTATTTTAAAGTTTTATTTTGAAAGTGATTCTTTATCCTAAAACTGCATCAGACTCACTCTTGAAATGGAAAATGTGGATCTCTAACTACAAGAGCAACTATAACCACCTTCTAATATTGGGAGAGAGTTTTCCATGGTGAACTTTAAATACTGATGTTTTATTGCCTACCCCTCATCTGTAGTGTACAGAAGGTCTGACTGGGGAAACAGAACCTCACCCATTCTTACAATAGGCTCAAAACCTCTGTCTGAATTCCTGAAGTCTAATTAAAATGTGAGGACTTCTAGAGTAAATGGTAGACTTTCCTAACTTGTTCAGACTAGCAGGTGACTTGGGTCTCATGCTGCAGAGTAAAGCAAAAACAATCCTCTCCCTCCCCCCCAAATCACAAGACGACCAGGAAGAAAATGATATTTAGACCTTGAGCATGTGAACAAGACCCACCAGCAGGACATCTGGAAAAGAATCCTATGTAGTAACTCAAAGCCCTTATCTAGGGCCTCATCCCCAGGTAGCGGAGATATGTGCAAACAGCAGATGCAGATTGACCATATGCCATTTAAGCAAGTTTAGTCTTGAAACAAGTAGGGTTTTTGCCCCCACTACTCACCTTGGGATACTGTTCCAGAACTCTATTCCTCTGATAGTTAGAAACCTTACTCCAAGGGTTCTTAAACACAATTGCACTCTGATCCCCTTCTGATAATAAAAGTACTGTAGAGTCCCTATCATCCGATATAAATGGGACCGACACATGGTTGGATTACCGAATATGTCAGATGATACGGACTCTACTGTAAAGAGCAACGGAACAGCTGATGCCCCTCCTGCCAAGGACGTCCCCCGCAGGAGCAGCATCAGCTGTTCCCTTGCCCTCTAGGAGAAGCTGCTCCTGCTGCTGCTCTTCCTCTTGCCTGGAAGCGTCCTTCCTGGCAGCAGCAGCTTCGAGAGTGACGGGGCAGCAAGCAGGGGCCGTTCTCCCGGCCCGCGCTGTATCTGACAAAGTAGTAACTCAAAGTCCCCGGGGGCTGCAGGGTCGGATAAAGCGGAGTGTCGGATTACCAGGTGTTGCTCAGGCTTTAGCCCCACCAAGTCTAAGCCAGTCCTCACAACACTGTTAATACAGGGTTGTGATGCATTTTGGTATTCCAACCTACAGTCTGAGAATCACTGCCCTACTCTAATTTCAAGTCTAAAATGTGTTGATGGCCAGTTTACATCTATTTGCTCTTGTGCAAACATTGGGTCTTAACTGAAGTCCTCTCTCCACCCTGTGTTCATTCCTCTAATTGTATTTATATAAAGCAGTCCTATCTTCCCATAGCCTTAATTTTATTAGCCAAGTTTGTTAAATCTCCTCTCATAAAACAAGTTTCTGCATTCATCCTCTAGCCTTCTTAGTAACTTGCACATGCTACCAGTTTGTATTCAACTTCCTTAAATACGAGACCAGAATTGCACAGTATTCCACACAGAGACTAGTTCCTTTTAAAACCATAAAAAAATCTGTCACTTCCAAAGATGATTTGTGACAGAAAGATAGAGTTTTAAACTATGTACTGAACATAATTTGCACATACTTCTACCAGTACATTTAGTCTCTCACTGTCACAGGCACCAACTTTGCCATTTTTCTATATGACTTTTGGAACAAATTCTGCATCATTTGAGAGGTGTGACTTCCAATTTTAAGAGGAGTTTCATTTATTTATTCCACAGCAAGGTATGGATATATATCATTTACAGTACAAGCCTAGTCAAGTTTCTTAGCTATTTGGCACTAGCTAATTGAAGGGAGGGATAAAATGACTTAAATTTAAATATAAACCATGTATAGTATCACAAAATATAACTGTTCAAAGAAAATAGGTATGAAAAACTTTAGATTCTGTAATACAATCAGTACAAAAGCTTATAATTTAATATATTCAATGTATAACTGTCACATACCGCCAATTGAACATCGCCGTGCTATTTCCCAGAAGACTAATCCCATCGCATAGATGTCAGCTCGCTTGAATGACTCAAAATGTTTCATATTTATGGAATCATCTAGGACCTCAGGAGCCATGTATCTATTAAAATAAAATAACCAAAATGTATTTATGCCATAAAAATGCTTACAACACTAAGCTCTCTCCATAATTTCTTCAGGTCCAACACACTGAACAAATTGGCTTAACAGAAGTTAACACATTAGGAAAATTTGGAAGGACTACATTAAGAGTAAAATGATCATGGTCACTTCATGTTGGCCTTAATTCCATTAAGGTCAGTGGTAAAATACCTACTGAATTAGTCAGCAGAAGAAACTAAGCCAATTCAGAGTACTTTTCAATATCCCCCAAGTCGCACACCAATCTACATGGCCTCCGTACAATGAAAAGAAGTTCAGTTATTTCCAGGTGACCAATGTGTGACCCTTAAAGTCCTCAACTGTTCAGATGAAATACTAGAAATGGATTACTAATAGAAAATATGTTCAATAGTTCCAGAAAGAAAAGGAGGCAAGAAGCAAAGCAGCCTCTGAGATGCTGTCATTTTAGGCAGGTGAAAGGATAATGAGACAAAGTTGGAGCCATGAAGGGAAGGGGGAGCAAAGCAACACTGTGGCTGCAACATCCAGGGGAGACACAGAGAAGAGTAGCAGCAGCAGCAGCAGCTCCACACAGACAAAGATTGACAACAACTGCTTCAGGGCTTGAGTGCCCTCAGTAACTAATTGATCCGAGGAAAAAGATTTGAGGTAGGAGCAGGTCGAGGGATAAAGATGAAGGAATTTTGTATTAGAGAGCAGGGAGAAACATAGGCGTTAGAATGTATCGCTAGAAATACTGGAGGCAAGAGATGAAAAAACAAACCAAAACCACCACAACCCCTAGGGGCTGTAATGTGGGAGGCATGGCTGGGGACTGCTAGAGAATGGGGAAAAGTTACTAGCTATGCAGTAACTGACTCCTCAAGATGTTGTTGTCAGTGTGGATCAACTATAAGTGCTCATGTGCTTCACTTGCAAGACTGTTTTTTTTTTGGTTTTTGCACATAATGCTGTTCACTGAGTCCACACAAGAGTATAAAGAGCAGAATTGCTATGACCCTCCCTCCCCTTGCAATCTGAACCCTGCAATAGAGAGCTCTTAAGAAAAAAAATGAAGGTTGGCTCATAGGAGCCACACTGACATGTCAAAGAACCACACTTAATGTAGGCATAGTATATGTCAGTGTGGATCCTCCTCTAGGTGACTGGCAACCAGCAGCCCCTTAGGAAGGAGGGAAAG